TGGTGGTGGTGGTAGTAGTAGTAGTAGGTAGCAGGAGCAGCAGCAGCAGCAGTTGTTGTAGGTTGTCGTTCTAGTTTAGCAAGGATCTTAAAGGGCAACAATAGCAGAATAATAGAAAATTCAATAACTTTTTGAAAACAACCTGGGTGAATAGACTTGACTTATTTATCTTATTCATATTCCGTCCCATTAAACTATTCAGAGTGTGGGAATAGTCTGGCAATTCTTTTTTAACATTCGTCCCACTACACTAATTCGGATGCGACATTACAGTGTCAACAAGAGGCGTACTCAGTAAGTTGTGCTGTCAAACAGTTGAGAAACAATCTCAACTGGATGGTACTCTTCAAGTGATTCCTACGCAAAGGGAAATTTGCCTGGAAGAAAGACTGATGCTCAGTTGGGTTGTATGATTCCGGTTTGACCAAAGTGTCCTTACGTCTAGAAACGTGCGATGAAAACCCATGGTGTTTTGTCTCTTACAAAGAAACTCGACATACAAACATTGCACTTTAGAAAGGTCGGACCCAGGAGCCAACTGAAAGGGATTGCCCTTACGACAATTTAGCAGACCATACGTTGCAAATCATGTTGCTCCCTTCTCTAGCTGAAGCCTCAAGCATGTCGCACGTACTTGTCATTTTGATTCAATGTTGATGGCTTTTTTGCCGGCTGTTGGCGACAATGCTTGCTTCTCTGCTTTTTGGGGCCTTCTACTTTGTATGTTGAAGATGCCTCTTTTTTAGTCTTTTTCCATGCACAAAATAGGATCCACAATAAGCAACGCCATTGAACTGCTGTAGTCGTGGCTGTATGTGTTCACGCCTCTTGAACTGCTCCACCGGTGATATCAGCCACAGACAATGTGGTGTCAAAGGCCAAGGCCTGGTGCGGGGCGCACTGATACATCTGGTCAAGCGTGATTTCACAAGCAAGGATTGTAGAAGGTACTAGGTTGGAGGTCATTCCTACTAGGCCATCGCCATTAGGTTGGAGGCCATCGCTATTACGTTGGTTGGAGGCCATTGCTATTGGGTTGGAATTGGTTATCAAAAGAGTAGTCAACATGGACCAATGATGACCAACGAGTATCAAGGACTCATATCCAGCTGCTCATTGACAAGACCTTTCGCCACTTGTCAACTGTTGCCCCTTGTGTAAATATGCCAAATGATTGATGCCCAACGTCCCTTAAGTCTCAGTGCAAAAAATTGCTCGTCCATGCTTGCCTCCACCAGGCCAGTGTCATTCAACCAGGCGCTGTACTGCCTGGTGCAAAGTCTGTGGCTGTCTGAGCCTTATCACGTAGCCAAGCCATGCCAAGCCCCCTGCCCACCACCAGCTCCAAAATCTCCCACTGAGCTTTTTGGTGCAGAACCTTTGTGGTTCACCAGTCGGCAAGAAGTGAACCAAAAGGCCGATTCGCAGCGCTTTGCAACTGAGGAGAGCTCCATACCCAGGCTTGAGGCAATACCGCAGGAAGCCCCGCATTAGGCCCTCTGGATGCTGTATGCCAAAAATGCTAAGAGCGATTACAAGACTCGTGCTCAAATACTTGGCAAATTCTTGCACAACAAATGACGAGAGCCTTGTCCAAGCCCCAGCCATTGAAGGTCTGCCGTCTCAAAAACTCAAAGGATGAATATACACCTGCTTTTGTCATCCAAAACTCTTGTGAATCTGGAATGTCTGAAGGAGCAAAGAAACACTGAGGCCGATGCCCTCTTCACTCTGGCGATGCTCCTCACCAGCGCTAAAGTCCTTGGAGAGTCTGACATGGGCTGAGACTGACATCGGCTGCATGCACTGCATGTGCTAAGAAATGGGCGTATACAAGTCCGCGCTTTTCCGCATGTTGCATGTGCATCAACTCCTGGTACACAGCTGCTGTCAGCTCATTCCTCACCAAGACAAATCCGCGTGTTTGCTAGCACCACTTTGCCCAAATGAAGAATTGGAATTGGGAGTCGGGCGAATGAAACTCCAAGAACTTGTGCACAGAGGAGATGAACATGTTGCTGAATATCAAGTTCTCAGACCTTGAATTCCAAATATTCAAAAGCTTGCAAGTTGGTTTGCAAGGCTTACTCCAGCAGGCTTATTTACCTTGATACAACTATCTGCAGGGGGCTCCAACCAGCTAACGTTTGGAGGTGGTCCGCCGGGCTCGTCAGCTGCCTGCTTCAGATTTGTTTGCAAAACAATGCAGCAATGCACAACAATGCTCAAACACATCTACTGCCTGCCCCTCATCATCTAGATCCCGCCAGGACGTGACCTAGATGGCAAAAGGATCAAACTGATTTATGGATAAGTATTAGCAACATTGGATGTGTTTCTTTCCAAAGTTTTGCCAAGTGGCATCTCCAAGCACTCCAAAAGCCACGCTATTCCAAAGCAAGGCTGTGTGCTCTCCTGGCCATGCTTTTGCTTGGACTGGTTGGACTGCTGACATACGTTGACGCAAAACGCACTCCTAAGATGCGTTTCCATGTTGCTGCGGCTGTCATCAGCACAGTTCGGAGATTGGCCGACACACAGTGGGCATCATCCGGAACCTGAGAGGTTTGGGCGCCATCGCCGGATTCGAGCTCTGTGACTTTCTTTATATCAAATTCTGAGAACTCAGAAGTGAGCGGCAATGGTCTGCAAGCGAACGAAATATTGCCACACCTGGACAGTTATTTTCAATTTTCCCAACCCTGGTTGAATCACACAAAGACCATACACATCCTGCATATTCTCTGCATCTCGAACGTTTCTACCTGTATACATTCAATTTCAAAACACCACTACTACCACTTGCAACTTTGCACCCGAATAGGCCCTTCAAAACAAACAGCATCCAATGTCCAAAGCGCAGAAATTTGCCCCAGCCTTTCTCATAACTCGGTCCTGGGTATGGCTCAGCAGCCATGCCCAACTGTGTTCCTGTGCAGCGAAAGCTGCCCGCAAAGTTGTGCAGGTTGAACATGTATGGCAATGGGTCCTCAGGGTACTTGTGAAGAGTCCAGTAGAGGCCCGAAGTACCTAGCAACACAGCACGCTGTTGGAGTTAGCCCGAATGTATGTAGTCATATTCTCAAATTCAGCATGGAAGCAACGCTAGCATCTGTGGGCAATCTATGCCTGAGATTATTCGGTGGATCTTGACCACCCTATCTGTCCACCACGAACCATCACTTGCTGCGATCACCGCACCATTGGTGCTTTGAGCTCTACATGTCAAAACTATCTGATCTAGACCAGTCAGACAAATCTGTCGTACAAGTACACGATCCGAGCGAACAAGCTACATCCAGGAATGTGTATGCTGTGCGTAATATGCCTGTGACGTTGAGGTGAAGTTGGTTGACATCCTCTGCCAACCTCTTCGATTCCTGGACTGACATTTCGGGAGGCAAAGGCCCGCATATCGCATAAGTTTAGGCTATAATAATATCGAATCATACATGTAAGGAGATCTCACCAGTTTTGGCTCCTCTGTCATCGCAAGAAGGCGATTGGCACAGGGCATGTCCTGTCACATAGCATGCGCATGAAGAATAGCCCATGAACAATGCTAGACTGCGTGCTCCTGTGCCATAGAGCTGTACTCAGCCAACGGAAGATCTCTTTCTCTGCCACTTTTGTCCTGGACATTCTAAAGCAGTTTGACAAACTTCCTCTATATTATCCAAAGTATTCCAAAGTTTCTCGGCGGCTCCAGGGGTCCAAAGCGTTGGAAAAAAGAGAGGACTTTGGGCTATGAAGTGAATTATTGTGAGGTTGTTCCTGAGACTGAGGTTTGCTGAGCCTTGTGATTACATGTGCGCGGCAGTCCAGCTTGAAGAGTTCGTAGTACAACAACCGAGAGAGCTTCTCGACCTCGGCCAGAAATAGGGAGGTGGTGCTCCGGCCACTCAGGTTGCCACTTCCCTTTGCCCAAGCTCTCTGCCGGTTGCTTGGACAAATCGACAGAAGCATTTCGATCTTGCTCCGAAGGTTCCTTTGCTGACAGCAGGTGTTTGCATAAATCGAGTTAAAGTGTATGGGTCTATGTTTAGTTCATGTCTAGGGCGGTCTTTCAACAACGAAATTGCAGTGGGCGACGGAGTAAACAACAAAAACTCACACCGGCAAAGCCTATCGTGTATGTGGTCCAATGGCGCACAGAGCCATTGTTGAATTGCTAGTCTTCAGCATGGCCCGCAAGAGACAAAGTCCCTCTGTGGATGACTAGAGCTGGGTGTCAACCAAAACGTTTCAAGGTGCAAGCTTGTCGGACTCATAAAGACTCCCCATGCTACCGGGTTAAAAACTGGCTGATACTGGCTGCAAGTTTCTGGAGACCACCGTGAAAACGTAGCTTCCTGTATTGAATACGTTGGAATTGCTGCACCGACCCACAACAAGAGCCGGGAGCATAGCCCGTGATATACCAGTCGACGCAGACCCTACACAGGCCAACTGACTAGGGTCCGTTCCCAGGAAGTGGCTGGCAAGCCATTGAAAAAGACTGATGAATATAACATAATAAAACTCACCAGACTTGTAGCCTTGGCCCAAGAACTCAACCAGAACCCTAAAAAATCCAACACCATAGACCCCAAACAGTTTCAGCAGAAGGTTTTTGCATCCGTTCCTTGAAGTCCAACGTCGTAACGTTGGTGGAAAGGTCTGCAATTAGATTCCTATAGCCTCCAACTGTTTAAGAATGGCGGACAAAACACGACGTTTTGGGAACAGGATGGTATCAAGTTAGAAGCAATGATCCACTGTTGCGTTCATAGCCACAAGGCACAGACAAGCGGACAAGGCCCGGATAGCGATGAAAAAAGGGCCCACAGGGTCTGGACATGGACGGCATGGCCACGACTATCGTGGCCGGCCCTTTTCTTCCCAAGAGACAGAGACCCAACAGTACATTGAAAAGTAGACAATAATGTACACCTTTTCGGAACTTAAACGACGGTCATTGAATGATGTTTGTTCTGACCAAGACAAAACATCGTGAATTTACACACAAAAAAGCCGGCAGGCATTTTGAAAGACATGTAGCCTCCTAGACTTGGGACGAGATGCGGGAGGAATCAAGTCAGGCACTCCTGAACCGGCATAGTAGCGACCTTTCGGGCGCATCTCGGGGAACTCGGGAGAGATGTCTCTTTCGGTGCATTTCGATCCCTGCCTGACTCATCTACCATTGCAAGCTGAAGCGGAAGCCTGGGAAGGTTGGGAGCCAATGGGGTGGGGAGCTGGAAGATCCCTGCGTTACATATATAACTTTACACACTTGACGAAAAGGAAGCAAACTGACCACGTAAAAGAGATAAACTACAATCAAAGGCAAGCTTTAGTATGCTCTAATTGGACTTCTAATTTGTTATTTCATGTAACAACGATAGACTTCCATGCAAGTGGCCAGCCGCCAGCCAGCATCAAAATCCTGTGAGCACCATTTGAAGGCAAATCCCCAACGTTCAGCCCTAAAAAGTGCAAGCAAGTCCTGCCAATCATGATTGCAAAGGAGAGATCGAAATCGTCATGGCTTCAAGGAGACACCGCTGAGTTTGCTAAAGACTTGACGACTAGACTAGACCTGTACAGCATCTGGACTCTAGACCGATGTTTTGCATCTAGTGTGTGTTGTTCTTCCAAACAGTTTTTCCTGATTTGCTAAAACAACTAGCTACACTCTGTGCTACAAAATGCAAATAGAGTCGCTGCAGAATGTTCTAGAACAGCTGTACTTTGAGTTGCCGAGCCTGATGATGCGAAAGTTTCTATGGCAAACTGGGTGGCAACCAAAGGAGGTTCTCTGCATTTAGATTAAAGTCTTCCGCACTTGCTTTTTCCACCAAACATAGACATAAATCAAGTGATGCCAAGCATGAGCAGTGACCGACAAATGCAGCTGTTCACAAGACAGCAGCACCCATGAAATGATCACAGGGCAGCTGTCTCAACTGTATCCTTCGAATGCATTGCTGTTGTGAGCATGTTCGAAGGATTGCATATGGGCATCATTTCTTCAGCCAGTCTAATTGGACAAATGACAATAAGAAAAAATATAAAGGTACTAGGAACAGGTGCCACGCTATTAGTAACAAGTGCCACGCTACTAGGAACAAGTGCCTTACTAGTAAGAAGCTATTAATTTAATGACAATATTGACTGGCATATTGCAATCGCCGTGATGTCCATCCCGCATTCCGATGGTTCTTTCTGCAGTCTAAGTGACAGCAAGTGTGACAGGGCCTGTACCATATGTATCTTGCTCAACTGGGTCCTGTTGGTCCTGTTGCTTCCAACAACTGCTCTCCTGAAAGCAAAGCCGAACTTGGTGGGGTGAGCAGCAGACTCCAAGCAAGGGCACATCACTGGTCCCCACCAGCTTCCGAGCCGTGTGCAATCGGTCAGGATATGGGAGAATTCTGCTAACTTCGAACATTCTGTGAGGAGCTGGCTGATCGCAAATTCTCCGTTGCGGATCAGTTACCTTTGAGCATGGGAGTCAACAGCAGTCGCTACAAGGCTTGTAGTTGGGCCAACTTCCACGGATCCCGAACGGTCTCAAAATCCTCCATGAAAAGGCCAAAACTCCTGAAGGCACTCCAATCTGACAAAACTCTGTGTGCAACAAATGGTATCCACTTCAACGTGGTTTAAACTTCAAACACCAAACAAACGGCAACACGTTTCTGCTAGTCGCAGCCAGGTGTCTCTGATATCCCATTGTACTTCTCACCATTCACACTCCAATAGGCAAAATCTGCATCATGCTCGTGGAGATATCTTAATATATGTTTCCACCACAGAGATTCTCTTTGAGTACCAAACTCTCCAAGCCACACAGGTGCCGGGTTAGCGCCTGACATCAAAAAACCCCACTTAAAGTCCAACTCTTTTGCGAAGGCCGGATATTGACCAAACTCATACCAAACACTAATAAGGATGCACACGGTAGTGAGCATCAGAATCGCAAGAAGGCAACCAGTTCCACGACAGTGTTTGGCTTGCTGTGGAAAATCGCAGCCATGGCAGCCGCTGGTCGAATTGCGCACTTCTCGAGGTGTTTCACCCACGGTGGTTTCTCGATCAAGGTCCCTGGACAAGATCGGCAACTCAAACTGCACGGCGGCTTCTCGGATCTCTACGCGCCGCGCAATGATGTTGAAGGCAGCTCTGCTCCACAGGATCAAACTGAGAAGGGCACATGTGGGTGTCAGTACACCGCAAAATAGAGCGATGTAAACACCAATGATGTCGCACTGTTGGATGAAGCTTTCTGAAAACTTTAGGCCAAAAGCGAAAAGCGTGGCACAGAGGGCCGCAGCTGAAAACTGAAAGAACAGGCCACAGCTGCCAAGGCTTCTGGAAGGGCCCCTGCAACATTCCTTGCACTTTTGGAGTCAGCATTGGAGGGATGGGGGATGCATCATGTTTTCTTTTTCTCAGTTCGTCAATGCACATGCGGTCACATGCGGTGCGCATGCGTTCACATAAATGGCACACACTAGAACTAACCGTCACCCGCTTGCTCTACCATCATGTGCTGGCCCACACATGGCCGTACGCTTGAGAAGGGAGGAACAAATGAGGAAGTAGTAGGGAAGAGAGGTGGAAGAAGCAAGAACATGCAAGAACAAAAAGCAAAGCAGCATTCAAGGAACTCACGGCGAGGAAATGACAAATGACACATTAAATTACGACATACTACGACCTGTCTTGTCCCTGCCAGTAGCACCAGTCACACTGTACAAGAACCCGCGACGTGAAGAAGGAAGGCAAAAAAAATGGAAGAGCACACAAAGCCAAGCAACAACGAACCGATTGGTCGTAAACGCGCGCCCACGACGATCGAAATCCCCTTGTAAACGGACCCATCAGGTCAATAGCGGATTCGGAAACCAGGGTGGCCACGGAGTCGGAAACTAGGCACAGCGCGGATTCGGGAACTAGGATTCGGAAACTAGAACGGCGGATTTGGAAACTATGATTTGGAAACTAGAAGGCGGCGGAAGGCGGAATGCGGATTCGGAAACTTGGATTCGGAAACACCAGAACGGGTCTGAATCGGATAGTTTCTGAATAGGGTCTGTGAATGAATGTCTGTGAAATACGAAGTTGTCCACGCTACATCAACACAAACATTCATTAATTAGATCCCCACCCCACCCCCCCGTTTCTGAATCGGATTGTTTCTGAGTCGGCCAGTTTCTGAATCGAGGGAGTTTCTGAATCGGGACACCCTGTTGTTTCTGAACCGGGTGAGTTTCTGAATCGGGACACTCTGTAGTTTCAGAATCGCAAGTTTCTGATTCGTGGTTTCTGAATCGGAGCTAGTTTCTGAATCGTCTTCTGTTCGGACCATGCCCATTTTGCCCAAAGATGTCCCATGCACAGTCTGGTTTCAGCTATAAACAGCCGTTCTTTGTCCGCAGCAACGTCCAAGAAGTCTCCGGTCGGCATCCAAGTTTGTTGGCGCGACACTGTCTGTACACGCGAAAAACTTCGAGAACAGTGAGCGGACCTGGACTGTCGTTTAAACGACGAGTGGCACACAACTGGTCTATGTGACTTTCGGCTGGAGATCCGCGGCCACGGCCCAACCGGTTGGTTCTCCTCAGCGGAATTATAATTGGGTGTGATATGGTGTGATTATGTCATATGATGTCGATGACAATGTTGTGAAATCGACTTACCCCACCCCACCCCACTTTAATCACACGACTCATCGATGACAATGTTG